ACACAGGATCTTATCTTATACTTTTTCACACAACACCAAACCAACTTTCACCATGAAGAAGATGGAAGGTTTGCTAAAGGAAACATGTGCCCATGTCACAAAGGTTACTTTGAAAGACTTTGACTTTGAAAGAGACAATCATTTTGCCTACATTATTGAAAGTCAAATAAAATTAAAACTACAACAGCTTACCTAGTTGTAGTGAAAATGATCGAATAAATTTATTTTTAATCTATTTTTATTCTTAAATTTGTATAACTTTGCCTACATAAATAAGCAATAATAATAAATACGAAGAAACTGATAAATTTTGTGTTTTAATTTATCTGTTTCTAATTTATTCTGGTAAAAATCGAAACAAAACTGTAAATTATTACCAACTCTAATTTTTTTTATAGGATAGGGTGACAAACGAGCACACAGTCCACCTGATGGTAAGTGGTTGCTGTGGCTCATAGACATCTACATCTATCCTCGATTACGAATCAAAATGCAGATGCGTTGTCACCCGTGAGGACTAAGATGGAATGCCTCGTTTCCAGTAAAAACGTTATCCGGTTCTCTACACTCACCATACGAAACACAGCAGCATTAATCTGCTATTTCACGGTGGTATTCCGTGAGAGCGTGGTCCTTCCCCGGTCGAGCAGACCCATTCGTGCTACAACTATACTACTAATATAACTGCAGCATGGCTTTATCACTCAATCGATATCGATTTTTCTTAAGAATCGAGTATTGTACGTACCGTTTATTGGTTAGCATGTTTAGTCAAATAGTTTGACAGATGTCAAAAGCTATTTGAATTTTTTACTTTTAATAAATTTACTAAAATTAAACGAATTAATATAAATTTGGTTACAATTGTTTACCTAAACACTATCAGATTAGTAAATAATTTAGTTATAACTGACGTACAAATGTTTTCCATCCAATGAGCGTATATCGTCACTCGTCGCGGCCGTAACAGATGGTTCACCGTGTTTAGAACTAAAGATAAGCCGTGCCTTGTATGTACTCATACCTGTTTGAGTTAACTAAACTACGGTTTTGGAAATGTTCTTTCCACTAATTATTGCTTTATAATATGATATTTTAAAGACTTCAATAACTAAAGTCTTGAATATTCAAAAGTTAAATTGAACTACAATTTACCTATTCGACTATCTTATTATATCTTCGAAAATATCCTATATTGACAAATCATTATCTCATAGGTTTATTTTGCAATAGCCGGTCTGTGCAGAGAAGGTTCGGAATAAGTAATATAGGAAAATAGTATAGAAAAATTTCTTTAAAAAAAATTCAAACATTTTCTCCCTTCAAAATGCGATATTTTAACTAATTTTACTGGGCACGCGATTGTACGTACCACATTCGTAAGGGTCAATCGGTAGGAAGAAACGTTGGTTGCCCATAAATTACATTCAATTTGGAATAATATCAAATAAAAGTAGAAGCCTTATTTACAAGTATTTCAAAAACTGCAATATCGGTATATTAGAACTTCAGTTTGAAATTTTGCTACTCTTTAAAAAATAATCCTGTATATCGGAAATACATTCAAGTGTTATCTTCCCTATTTTTATCTTAATAATAGTGTGCGGTGTAACGACTTCACTTATATACTATATTCTTTAAGCGGACATTAATATGTAAGTAATAATCAATACGTAATTTTTTTACGCATGAATGGGTCGGCTCGATCGGGGCTCGTCCACGCTCTCACAGAATATCAGCGTAATGCTGCTGTGTTTCGTATGGTGAGTGTAGAGAACCGGATACCGTTTTAACTGGAATCGAGGCATTCCACCTTAGTCCTCAGCTGCGACAACGCATCTACATTTTGATTCTTAATCGAGGTTAAATATAGATGTCTATGGACCACAGTATCCACTTGCCATCAGGTGGATTCTCTCGCACCGCCACTACACGGTACACGGCAAGATAAATACATAGTATGTAAAATAAACATAAACATAAACACTCACGCCTGTCACCCAAAGGGGTAGGCAGAGACTACAGACTTCCATTTAGCACGATCCTGACATACCTCTCTCGCCTCTTCCACATCCATATACCTACGCATACATGCTCGTCGGTTAAGGGTACCCTTAATTTGGCCCATTTTTAGTATATCGCCAATTTGGTCGACAAACTTCCGCCTAGGACGTCCCTTTCCGACTCTTCCATTCACTTCTGCAACATATATTTGCTTTGTCAGTCTTTCCGCATTCATTCTTTCTACATGACCAAACCACCGAAGCATTCCTTTCTTAATCCTGGTCACTGCACCATCTTGCAAACCACACTCTTCTTTTATCACATTTAGTATGTAAAATATATAATTCAATTTTAATTAATTGGTAATTAGCTAATAAAATGTCACGGTTATCAACCATAGCAGATTATTAGATCAAATTTAATATAATGCAAGTAATTACAATATCTTATAATTAAAGAAGTTTATCAGCATGATTCAGCTCCTATAGCGAGTGTAAATAGCAGTGTTGTCTTCGCTATTACAAAATTAATTACAACAATGAGTCAGCACGCGCTGAATAAATCAAATTAGATCGCCAACCATGTGGTAGACAATACAGCGAAATTGGGAGTTAAAAGTCGCAATTAAATAGAGACAATGTGGTGGGAAGAGTCGACAAGACGTCGGCTCGTCATCAATCAGCCGTCGTAACTTGCCACCATCGCCCTCTATCTTCACTCGTAAGATGTAATTAATCACGGAAAATTATTTAAATTCCCGATGACAAGGCTAAACCATTGCTAATTGGTCGGAGGACCACTAACAGAATTTGGCGGTTGAATGATTTTCAACAAAAATTTTTGCTAATTATATATTAAATTGTTTTACCAAAACAGTTTCACCTAGTTATTAAAATTTATTTATTCATTATAGTAACTGTAGCCCAATGGTTAAGGTTACGAATCGCGAAGAAGTTTTAGGGATTCGAATCTGACTTCTGTCTTTAACCGCTGGTACAAGTATTTTCAGCTTAGTTGCAAGTGATTAACGGGAACGCTAGTAAAAATTTGCAGTTTCATTACTTTATTAATCAGTTACAGTAGTGTGGGATGTCCCCCGACTAGTTGAAGAGTTGAAGCGACGATCTGCGCAAGGTGGTTAGGAGAAACTGTGAAGACCGGACTTAGTGGCGCGCCCTGGGCCTGAGACATATGTCGATCGGTGGACTGTCACAGGTTGATGATGAATCAGTAAAAAGAAATGATAACAACAATTATATACACAAACCTTTTATGAAAATATGTTAGAAAAACTTAAAAAATGTAATAATTACTTAATTTAAAAAATAATATTGTAATGGTTCTTCCACATTTTATTGACAAGTCATTAAAACACAAGCACCGCGCCCTTAGTAATTTAGAAAATTAAAATATAACTTGGCACATAGTTTAGATAGAAAATTACTCGCTTTAGGAAAATGCAATACATTAATTTAATAAAACCATGATAGCTTAGGAAAGTTGTCTTATCTTTGTCTTATCTAAATATATATAAATTACGTGTTTGTCCGCGATGGACTCCTACTTAACCGATTTAAATCAAATTTGCACACCGTGTGCAGTTTGGTCCAACTTGAGAGATAGGATAGGTTTTTTTTGTCCATGAGTGACCCACAAAAATTTTTTGCGCATTTAAGGATTTTTAATAGGACATGACAAAGAGTCGTCGAAAAGGGCAGAACAACGTCTGCCTGACAAGCTACTTAAATAATATATTACATATATATTTTAATAAAACGCCACCGTTATTTTATTAACAATTACACTGTCCGGTTTTCAGACACAATAAAATAGTAAGACAATAGCAATGACCTATATGTAGTGCACGGGGCAGCGAAAGGGTTAAAACGGTAATGAGTTTATTACATTGATAAAATAATAAACACAGGAATTAGTTCGAAAATCACATACGTGTAGATTTAGTGTACGTGGTAGCCACTCTGTAGTTATATGGAGTCTCGATTGTTATGAGAAATGGGTTGGCTCCGCCGGGAATGGATCACGCTCTCACAGAATACTAACAGCAGCATAGTTACTGCTATATTTTTCATCATGAGTGACGAGAACTTAACAACTTTTTTAATTGTAAGTACCTGGATGACCGAGCATTTTTCGGTTTTTTTTTTGGTACTCGTGTGTTTTGGAAATTATATTTAGATAAAAATTACGTACTGATAAAATATGAAGAATATTTTTGATCTTACCGACATAATAGAAAAAACTAAAAAAAGAGCTCGAAATAATAGATTTTTTCACAAAAGAAGGAACTTGAAAAAAAAAGGAAAAAGTCCGACCGAAGACAGGACGCGAACCAGGGCACTAAGATTTCGCGACGGGCCGATATCCACTTGAGCTATTACAATCATTAATACAGTATCAAAATTTACCGTCTTATATAGTAGCAGTTTTTCATTGCCTGAAAACACGGACAAAACGACATTTTCTAAAAATGAATCCTAGCTAGATCGATTTATTGCCCCGGAAACTCTCTGGAAACTAAATTTTATGAAAATCGTTGGAGCCGTTTCTGAGATTCCGATTATATATATATATATATATACGAATTGCTCGTTTAAAGATATAGGATAATGCGTTTCTTAATCGAGATGAGGCCGCGAGTTTCATCCACAACATACACGGAAAATAAAAATCGTATGCTTTTTTGTCACCAACACTTACTTGTGTTATAAAAGCAACAATTTACAAAAAAATTAATTAGGATAACAATTGCGGTTGCGAAGGTCCCCCCTCCTCCAGCATATCATCACAGGAGCACAGCAATAAGCTGCTAGATAATGTTAGATTTGAGGCGCCTCCAAGGCGTCTGCCGTAGCGTAATTAGCTAGTGACTCAGCACGGCTTTGTTCACCCTGCATAGGATCCGCGAACAAACTTGTTTTAATTAATTTCGTGTCTCGAACAAGCCTTCAAACTGATTGTTATCTACTTAGCTGCTGTTAGCGCTCCGGACGCTTCGATAATGAAGCAACATATTGTTCTAGACTGAACTTATGATTAAGATAACCTAAAAACAAAATCACAAATATATAAACAATATATTTGTAATTTTGTAAATAAAGTTTGATTTATCAATAGTTTGATGGAAACCATAGCTATACTATGATATAATAAACAATACAGACGAGCTTCTTAAAAATGTATTTGAGTTTTTAGCTGACTTTAAAAGGAAGGAAATACTTAATTCTATTGTATTTTTTATACGTTGTGCCACATATTTGCCAATTTGAACCGACTTTTATGATCCAATTTTTAATTCCCATTTAAATTTGAAGAAAAACTCCCCTCAATAATGGAAAACAGCGGAAAAATATATATAAAAAAATATAAATAAATAAATAAATATTATGTAGATGATATTGATCAGACCACTGGTATTGGTCAAATAATTAAACTTAAGGAATAAGTAAAAACAACTAAAAATACTTTTAAACACACAATCGACCTGATGCTGGGCTGCTGTGGCCCATAGACATCTAAATTTCCCTCATGTGAGAACCCCTGAGGACTAAAATCGAATGCCTGGTTTCCAGTAAAAAGGGGTCTCCGGTTCTCTACACTCACCATACGGAACACAGCAGCATTACGCTGATATTTTACGCTGGTATTCTGTGAGAGCGTGGTCCTACCCCGGTCGTGCCGACCCATTCGAGCTACAACCCCAATATAGCTCAGCGTGGCTCTACTACGTAAAAATAAATAAAAAATACATACATACTTAAGAGAATAAAATAATTTTCACATAATTTAATTGTTTCTGAAGTCGGCGCATAAATTTTTCAACACACTGTCTCAGCATCCGACTTTGTGAATATTATTTCAATATTTTTATTTTTTACAGGCGATCTTTTTTTTTAAAGTGTTAAAGTTTAAATATGGACTTAGGTAACAAGACTTTAGAACCATAAATCTTCGCACGCTGCACTCGTAATAACGAAGCGAAATAATGTCATACACTTTTGCTAATTTTCATCTCTTTTTAACCAATTTTAAAGACGAAGTAGGTACACAATTCAAATGTATGTTTTGCGTTATGTTACGCGATTGTAAGCCGATTTTGAGAGTTATTTTTAAATAAAAAGCCTAGAAAAAAATCCACCACTAAGTAGGATAAATAGAACACAAAAATGTAAGTTAAACGACATTTTAGTTTACTCAGTCAGTGTCAGGTCAATTCACACTAAGGGTTCAAATAATTAACATAAAAAAGTAAAAACCTCTAAAAAACTCTAAAGAATAGATTTATTTTTAAATATAATTTAAGTCGGTGCTCAGACTTAGGCTGTTATTCAGGGACAATCTCAAACTTAAACTCAATGTTAAGATTTGGGTCTAGACGATACTGTTTCATAAATTTTAACAGAATAGAATAGAAAAGAATTTCAATATTATCATTAATATTTATCGTAATTATTTTTCATATATTTATTGCAAGTCTAGCTTATTATTAATTATAGAAAGCTTTACCACTGGTCCACTGAACATTTGAGTTTGAGCTCGAGTTCACTGAATTTGACTTTAAACTCGAGATTGTCTCTCGATACCGGCTTAAATGTATCGAATAATAGTTAAAGTCAAGGCTTCAAGTTCAAAGGCTATTAAATTATTCACAAACGATTTCATTATTTTTGTTTTTCGAAACAGTTTTTCAATTGTTTAGGTTTAATTATTAGACAATAAAAGACCATGGATTAAAATACTCCTGTTAAGAAGCAGAAATTACATCATTACGAATAATTCATTGCTATGAAGTCAGTACTGGACATGAGTCTTTCTAGAGTTCGGAGTATAATTAATCGCATGCTTAACAAAATGCAAAATCCATACTTCCTTACACAGGTTTTATGCTTTCAATAGCTGACCGCAGGAAACGATATTTGACGCTTAGATTAAAGAGGCATAAGTAAATTAATTTAGTGTGAATACAGTGCGGATATCGAGTTGATTATTAAACCGATAATGAAGAACAAACACAACAAATCGTTTAATTTTGCGCCCGTTTCCATGGTTCCAATTTGCACAAGCATATATATATATATATAAATATATATATATATATATATATATATATATATATATATATATATATATATATATAATACACTATTGCTAATGTAGATATTGAAGTGGAATGTCAGATCTGTACGAATAATAATATTATTAACATTGGTGTATAAATTCGGGCCGCAGTCAGCATAATCAGAGTGAGCGGATAATGTACCGAAGGCCGGACTTGACTGACAGCATGTTGCGAACGCACTGAATTTGTACTAACGCAAGCAACACTTCGAGTTTTTGTGATAATACGAGCGAAACACTCGATAGTAGTCGTACGCCTTTTACTGGACTCTCTCCACTTACATACTTAGTGTAGAACAAGGAACATACTACTCTCTAACGAGAGAAGAAAAACATCTCTATAGTAAAAAAAGGCCAACCACAGCCAACACACCTACACGACGCTGGCGCCATTGCGGAATAGCAATTAAAACAAAATACGCGGGAACTTTCAAAAAGGATATTGCATTACGCAATAATTGAATTAATAAGTAGTGCAAGAACATGAAGCATGATTTATAATAGTATGGAGTCTTTATATTATTATTTAATAGCTATGATAAATCTTGCTCCATATTATTAAAAAGTCCTGCTTCAAGTTCTTATAGTACATTTATTTTCAAATTGTGTGAGTAATTGAAACAACAAATAATGTATTATCATTTATTTTTTAAAATTCTCATTTTGCGTTCAAGAGTTTTCTTTTTCTCTTCGTCGTCCATATCTCTGTTTCTTAAAACACAATATCTTTTAGTTATTATAAAAAATGTGCTTACTTTTAAATGGTTTTCATTCAATACTAAATGATGGATACATTTTTTTAGAAAATTATAATCTACACATTCCAATGCACTGAATATGTTAACTTTTACTTCTATCCTATAGGCATTTGCTTTTAAGTATGTATTTATTATATTTGCCATCATTTCTACACACGTCACCATATCTTTACCCACATAATTTAAAGAGTTCTGAGCAGGGTCATATTCTTTAAAATTTGTGAACATGTGTATGATTTCTTGTGTATCTGACAAAAATGCTTTTCGGCAATCCAGACAGTTACTGTGCCTTAATTTTTTAAATATGAAACCACACACATATCCACATGCTTGACTTTCGGATGTCCCCTGCTCTACTGCTTCAACTGCATCAAATAATAAATTTTCCATCTCTTTAGTGTCATCAAACTGAAGAGTTGGTGATTTAACAATTGGAGAGATATTTGGAGTTAAAAAGTTTGACAAATTATTTGAAATAATTGCTGTGTCATCTTCACAATTTCTTTTATGCCCTGAATGTTTTAAATTTGAAATTATGGCAGTTTTAATACCAGCTATAAATTGGTTTATTGTAGGATTATTATTAGATCCACAGCTATATCTTATGCAGCCAAAACAATTTTCTAATGGATCTTGATTTAGGCGACGTGTGGGAAGACTCTTAATGCCTATAGCCTGCAAATTTTTCCACAATCTTTCTATAGCATTAAGGGTGTGAATCCATCCTTCTTGGGAAGGAGGATTTGATTTACTCCCTATATATTTCATATTCGATATGAACTCTCTCATACCCTTAAATAAAGCTAAATGAGGAGTCTTTTTATTTAAGTTTGTCGAGTATTTTTTTCCTCTTCTCAAATCTGGACTGTCTGCATTGACAGCATCAAACAGCTCGTCAAACTTTTGCACGAAAGTTGCTGTCACATGGGCTTCGGCCGGAAGTTCATCTGAAGAAAAAAAAAACAATGTTTAATTAGTTATATTTTCATTTAAAGGAAAAATATTTCACTTCATGGAGCTTTCATTAATATATATATTTTGATTAATATCATTATACACTAGATGTCAACTAACTCATCCTAAGTTTCTTTTTTTTATAGCATAGGGTGACAAACAAGCACACAGTTCACCTGATGGTAAGTGGTTGCTGTGGCCCATAGACATCTACATTTATCCTCGTTTGCAAATCAAAATGCAGATACATTGTCACCCGTGAGGACTAAGATGGAATGCCTCATTTCCAGTAAAGGGGGGTCTCTGGTTATCTACAGTCACCATATGAAACACAGCAGTGTTAAGCTTCTATTTTAAGCTGATATTCTATAAGAGCGTGGTTCTTCCCCGGTCGTGCCGACCCATTTGTGCTACAACTATTCTACTAATACAGCTGCAGCGTGGCTCTACCACGTGGTTGTGATTTCACTTGATTCTCAGAGAGTCAAGCTGTTTTAATGGTAGTTTTGTTTACTTCTGTTGTTAAATAACATGTAGGCAAACTTGCTCACATTCATATTACTATCGACAATGTATATATAAAACCCAAGTCTTCAGTACAGTTCAGCAGGGTACAAAGTTAGCAGTCTGTGACAAAATTCAAACTTAATTACTAATGTATCTATTTGTTACAGTCAAAATTCTTTAAATATCTCTAACTGTCAAAGGTACTTTTCACTGAAAAATACATATGTTCATGGCATTACCCCACCTTAACCCACAGTGACAGTGTTTGGCTCAAATTTCAATAGGTTAAGGTGCAGCTGACTGGGAATCAGTATTGACTGTGAGATATATATCTCACAGTCAATACTGATTCCCAGTCAGCTGCACAATTTATATAAATTCACTTACTTTGAGCAATTTTCATTAACATGCCAGTTGTAACAGAGTGGCTAAACACTTGTGCTGCTAATTTTACTCTCATTTTCTGCTGACAATTTGGACGCAAATGATTATCTGTCAGTTGAGGAGCATAAACTAAATTGGGGTTGGTTTTGTCCAACTGATAAAATGCTTCAATGTGGCTCCATTTCACTGTACCTAAAAAAAATATAAGATATTATATAGTAAGTACATAATTTGACTCTTGTTTTGTAGACATTATGTATATTATCTGCACAACAAGACTTTAATTTAAAAAAAAATGATATGGGTCAAATCCTCTAAACTAAAATATTTTATTTACCTTTTACAGGCTTCTCATTGCATTGAAAATCTGAGGTTACTTCAATATCATGCTTCATTAACAAATTTCTGGTGCACTTTAAAAGGTGTGGAGGATCTAGTATAGACACAATTTCCTGTCCACAGAAATTAAAAAATGGTGCAGTTGATGTTGCACCTAATATTTTAAAAACTTTCAAATTCACAGCTGATAAATCGCAGACAGTAGCAACCACATTCATCTTTGCTGTAATGCATTCTGTAAGTATCTGAAAAGAATAAACAAGTGTAAATTTGAAACATACACATACATATTTTTCAGTCTTGTAATAAAAGTTACAAAAAAGTATACTATACTTTACCTCTTTTAAAATTATTGTCATTCTATCTGCCTTTATTGTATGGGAGAAATAAAATGCGATGGGCTGTTTCCACTTCTTTCTCAACCCAGTGAGCATAAATACCAGTGCCTTAGAGGCAACATCTTCAGTCCTACCATGGTTGCCATGGTCTTGAAATCCTTGTATTTCATCCAGCTTTTGATTGTAATACAAATGTCTTCTTATAGACATTTCATCAAACGATAAAATACAAATATTGTCTTCTTTATCCTGGTTCCGGCTCATTTTTTCTAATGAGGTAAATATATGCTTGTTTATGCCTGGTTTTAGTGGCACTTTATTCAGGAGTTGATTTAAACTTGTTTGACAAGGTAAAGCAAACATTCTCTTCAGTAATCTGTAACAGGCTGGGGACTTTTTATAAATTAACAAAGCCTGAATTTTTTGTTGTAAAGTATATCTTCTCCCTTTTGGTTTTTTTGGGCAATTTTGTAATTGGCTTTGCAATAAAGTTATGAATGAATTGCTAATATTTAAATTACTCAATTCTTCAACATGGTGATCTCCTAAAACTCTCTCTATCTTCCCTCTCTTAATATTCTTAATTTTGTTACGTAATCGTATTATCTCATACATCTTATTTTTGCATATTTTATATAATTTTATTTCTCTTGGTGTCATTTGGCTTACTTTTGTGACACCTAGGTTAGCTAGGATTTTAGTACGTTTTTTGGTCAAATTTGACTTGCTACAGGTTGCCACATTGAGTTCATTCTGAAATTATAAATATTCACTCTTAGGGACTGATACCAGCACTCACATAATTTAAAATTGTAAGGTATTTGTCAGTTGGTAATAAATATCTTATGTATGATCACAAATTTGTTTGAATATTAAAATCTTAATTTGAATCCAAAATAAATTATCTGTATGACCTACTACAGCCATTAATATGTAAAATATTATTAATGTAAAAGAATTTGTTAAAAAAAGTACAGTGAAAGTATCATAGTTCACACAAACACATAAATACTAGAATCACATATTTAGTACTCCTCTCTATCTTATTATTTAAAAAGATATAATATGTAAAACAAAAAATCGAAAATGTATTACCTGCACGCTGTCAATGAATCCAGTTGTTCTTGCGACATCCACTAAAGTTTGTGTTGATGACTTTGCACTGGTACAAGGTTCCACTACAATATTTTCAATTTCAGACAGTGGCACTCTTAACTTTGGCTGTGCAGTTGCTTCACTGGACTGTTCTATATTCTGAAATTAATCATTACAATAAATGTATTACTTTATTTCACATGGAAACTATTAAAGTGTCTAATGTAAGACTTATCCTAAATTTATAACTCCTATAATATAAATATTTTAAGCAGCTGAACGGATTGTTATGCAATTACGGAAAATAGTTTTAGGCATGCAGATTTTAAAATGTATATTTTGAACTTGGCATAGAAAATTATATCGCACCTCCACTCAAATAGCATCATAATTCCAAAATACAAATTGTCGAGAAAAATGTGTTTAAAAATTGCTCGAACTTTATTTTTCACATTTTGGGGCATAACTCAGAAACTATGAAAATTATCATAATAATGATCATATTAAATTTTAATGGTTTTAAATGCTCTACAAAATGGAGTATTTGGTATCCTCAATAGATGAAAAATAAATTGTAAATTTGTAATTGTGACACTATACTATAGATAAAAGAAAGAATATTTCAATATATATTATTTATATGTCATTTTAACAAACAAAAACATTAACAAACAAAACAAAAACTTTTATTCTGAATTACTCATTGGTACGAAAATCAGGTCTTCTGAACCTAACGAAACAATAAAAAAAGTTTTGATATTTTTGAGTTATGACACTATTTGAGCAGAGGTATATGTAAATTTTATAGACCAATCTGTAAGTATATTATACCTGGTGAAAGATATTTTCCTTTTCATTGAGTAGTTCTTCCACTACAGTTGACTCAGGAACAGCAAATTTACTCAATTTTTGTCTTTCATTGTCATAAAATTGAGTTGAATTAAAGTGTCTTCCACACAACACTTTATTTTTAGTATAGAGTGAACGTAATAATTCTACTGAAGTCCAATCTTCATTTGGCCAACAATATTTAGCCCAAACATGAGCCCTGAAATTTTTTTAATTTAAGTAAATTAGTCAAATCTCTCATAAATTGATGTACTGACAAAATTAAAGGTATGTATTGAAAGGCCACTGACATGTATTTATGTATGTATTTAGAATGTCTTGCAAGTACACCGCCTAATCTTTTTATATAAATACTCTACACCCTAAGGTTGCCTGGAAGAGATCGCTTATAACGATAAGGCCGCCTTCTGTGTATCATCGTTTTATTTCTTCTTTTGTGTTGTACAATAAAGTATGTATCTATCTATCTATGCAAAATGGTATGTACTTAACAACAATACATTCATTTGTCGAATTAATGTACCAGCACAAGGTGCTTCAATATAGTATTTTAAACGATAATCGTATCAGGGCTCAACAAGCAATATCTCATAGTCCACTAACCTGGTAAAATTAGTAGTTCCTGGATTCGGAAACCTATGATAGGTCACCGTCATATCTTCAGCACGTGTTCTACCGCACTTGGCACATTTCCTATGGTTATTTTCAGACATACTTATAAACAAAGAACACACAAATCGAATAAAAACAGAAAACCTAACCTAACAAAGAAAACGTCCTTTCGTAAAAAAGCGCAAAACGTCCTTTCGTAAATAAATGTGATAGTGCACGATAGTCGCTAAACAATATGTACAAAACACAAAATTCACTCCAAGAACATAAACGCATATGCAGTTGAAATTACTAATAAATGCGGAGAGCTAATGTCACTCGATCAACACAATTACAGTAATGAAATAAAATGGCCACTTGTTTGTTTCCTTGCTAAAACCGTCAGTGTGACCAGTATGCAAGCTACCGGTTATTTATTTTTTTCTATGGTATACATTAGCAATGCACACATGCATAAGTGAGCATGTGTGTAAAGTCGAAAACTCGTCGTAGAAGTTGAGGGACCCTGCATACTGCATACCACTGCAAGACTTCAAAATACAGTTAGTTCATTCTGCGTAGATCGGACCAAAGACAATAATTAAAAAGCTGAAGGTACTCCGGGTTAACTTTGACATCGGGACGTCAGTCACCTCAGTCCCCCGTGACCATGGGTGCTGGAAAGCACCCGAAACGTCGGGTATTAAAATTAATATAAATAAAACGCGATAAAATCCGTAAAAGTAGTTTTAATCAATTTTAAAAATGGGTTGATTTGTAACGAGGTCTGTCATGATAAACAATTTATTATGACTTTCTTTAGTCCTTTTTACCTTTGTGTACCCCTACTTGTTATAGCGAAAGAAACAGCAATTACATCAAATACGGGTACTACGCATATTCTAGCATAAAGTGGGTGTGATGTTCAGTTCTACACGAGTGATGAGCGAAGGATTAGTCGATGGCAACATGGGAGTAGTTCGGGGTCTTCAGTTAGAAGGGTTAAGAAAAAACCATTTGGAAAAAGCAGAGCTGCCCTAAAAAGTCCTAATCTAATTTGATGACCGCTTCGTCGACAGAAGTTACCATGATGATAATGACTTAAATAGATATATAACTCCAATGAGTGTATCATTTCAAGGATACGAAGGTGCTAGCAAAATAGAAAGGGTAATGATTCTTATATTAGGTTGGGCCGTTACAGTGAATAAATTGCAAGGTATAGGGTACTACGGTTGATAAGTCGGTCATACATCTTGGACCCAAAACATTCGCCAAAGGACAAGTAATTCTTAGTAGAGTACGATCTTTAGATGGCGTAATGATAACTGATCTAAATTAAAGAAAACTCCTCAACAATCCACATAATAGCGTGGTGTTAAGAGAGTTAGAGTGATTGAGAAGCACGTTGTGCGGCTCGCAAATTGAGGAAGCCGAAGAAATATCACAAATCTGTCATCGATCTAACTCTGTTATTGTGGCATTAACATAATGATTATTCTTAAAATCTGGCTATGTGATATCGATAACCGCGTCTAAATTGGTCAAACCGTCTCGGAGAAAAATTCGCTAATTAAAATATAATACAAAGGGCGGACTTGCCTTTGCCTTGAGACCTTTTCTACCAATCAACCCATGATGAGATTTTTCATAATTTTTGTAATAGAATAAGGGTGATAAATGAGCACACAGTGACCACCTGATGGTAAGTGGATGCTGTAGCCCGTGTGTATCCTCCTATACATGTATGATTATGAATCAAAATGTAGATGCGTTGTCACCCCTGAAGCTTAACATGGGATGCCTCGTTTTCAAGAATTTGACGGAGGTGTAACAGTACAGAATAAAAACTATATAAAAATGATAATTAACTATGTAATATATACATTTTACTAATATATACCTATTTAAGAACTGCCGCCTATCAATTACAAACCCTTTACTGAAAATCGTATCTAAATCGGTCAAACCGTTTTAGAGATAAATTTGAACATTCGTTTGCACAAATATGTTTATCACAGCGCCCCGCCCCTGGCGAGGTAACACCATAACATCTATCTAAGAACCACCAATCTTTTACAGAAAACCATACCTAAATCGGTCAAACCATTATGAAGATAAAAGGTGATCATTTGTTTGCACAAATGCTTTTGCAGCGCCCCCCTGGTGAGTTAACATCATAA